TGAGTGGGTGGGTGGGTTTGTCAGTGTGTGTGTGTGTGTGTGTGTGTGTGTGTGTGTGTGTGTGTGTGTGTGCGCGCCAACAGCGCTTCTGACGACTGCTCTTGTAGCTTCGCTTCACCACATACACGCCAGCGCGTGACAAGTCCCCACAACTTTTGGTTCGGCAGCGAGACGCCAAAAGGTGGGCGCTTTGCTCGATCAAAAGTGAAACCCCCTGACACCTGCAGCTCTGCCCTGACGAGGATTGAAGTGCATGAGCCGTCTGCCTAATCCCCCATACGATGAGCAAACACCCCGTAAAGTAAAGTGCTCCACATCTTTGTGCCCCCCCGAAAGCGAACCTTGTGTCGTTCCTCGACGATCACATCCAAACCAGAACCTACCTAGTGAGTCATCAAACTCTCGAGTCGCCACAACAAAAAATTAGCGGTTCGTGAGACGCACCTCCTCCCGGTTGTGCAGGTCCAACGCCCGAGTAATCACACCGTCGCCATCGCCATAGCCATTGCCACCCGTCCACCCATCCAATGGGCAACGAGAGACCATTGGACACCCACGGGCGCCCGCCAATTCCACAGCGCCACCGTGAAGGCGCCAGCACTTCCAATTCCACCTCACCTACGAGCTCTGGACCGACAGACAGACCCCTAACCACCTCCGCTCCTCCGCTCCGCGCTCTCCTGCTGGTAATCCTCTAGTCCACCCATTCTGGTGACAAACACCGAACGCATAGTCCGGTGATTGGACGGGGAGGATTTGAGGAAGGATGCGATCTCGCGTTCACGACACGATTTCTCTCCGTCACAAGAAAAGAAAAAAGAAAAGAAAAGAATGACCACGCCTCTCTTCTAAGGGCCTCGCTCGAGTGCACAAGATCCACATGCATCTCGACAAGTCGGTAGTCCCGAAGTATTCAAAACATTCGAGATCTGGTCGGCGAAGATGTCCATATACATGTCGAGTGTGGAGGAACGGAGTGAGGCCCTAAACTGGTCGACAGTACTATGGAGCGCCCAGAGGCGGGGGAAAGGGACAACAGAGCACGGGTACCTCGGCCGGTACGGAAGTGCCACGGGCCTACCGGGGGACTCGCGAACCGTGAAAATTACGGGAGGGTGGAAAGGTACACTTACGTTCCCACTCTTCATATTGGCGGACGTATCTTGCACCGCTCTATGTGAAGATACGCTTGACATTTATTCACGTCTCGTGCGTAACGCGGCTCTCAGACCGAACCCCCTTGGGATCGGGCGCTTGGGGGTTTCCTGTCGACATCTTAAATTTAGAAAGAATGGTATTCACGCTCCACAGCCTTTCCATGTCCAGTCTGTCAGCACCATTTGTCCCCCACCTGCTGGCTGTAAGTCATTCGTCGTCTTCTCCAGTAGGCTGGGGGGTTCCTTGTTCAGTCTCGCCAGATTAACCTCAGGCATCTGACAACAGCAGATGCTGTTCTGACTCACAGCAGCAGAGCAAACACAAATAATCTTGTGCTACACCTGAAACGGACGTGGCCGGTATTCTTCCGTGCGCGAAATGGCACAGAGGATGGGAAGTGTGTCACTTGGGCGGTCTCGAGCGCTGCACTGCCGGTAACGCCCGCTGTACCATGTCACCGGCGTTACCCGACCTCTCTGCACGCCCAAGAGCGGGTGGAGAGGGACCACCATAGTCGCCCTCACTGTAGGTGAGGAAATTTCGCCTTTCAAGATGACGTGAGTGAGGTGGGCAGGTGACTCTACAGGAATCGTTGGTCTAATGACTACGAATGCTTACCACGGATGCGCCTAAGGCGTCCGCTTTGATATGGACCGAATATGCTTTGACACACGTGGAATATCCGGAATACCTATTTCCTCTACAGGTATGTTCCAACAATCTACTGTTCACAACTCATATGCGTCCTAACAGTCTTGCCGCTCCTCGACATTGAATGACCTAGATACTAACTATCCTCCCCCCCACTAAAAGAAGACGATCTGCACTTCGTCAGAGTGAAACCGCAATAGGCATCCTGCCAAACTTCATCCTGCTGCGACCCTCCCTACACTCTGAATAGAGTAGGAAACCAAATCTATGCACGAATAGTGATCTACTAGGTTATCGTTAAACACCTCGTGATACACATATACATGACCTGAGAAAGGCAAAATAGTAGTCTGGCGCTGGATGATGTCGAATGATATCGAATCAGGGGCAGCTTACTATCACGCAAGAAAAGATAAGGTATTGCAACCCGGGAGCCCACCAAATGTGTGAGATTTGATTTTACTACTATTGATCAAACTATCTTATCCTATCCACTCATGTTTCATGATTCGATTAACCTATGCAAATATTATTATGGGAGCACGGGAATGAGTGACTTGCTCGAATCCAAAGGCGGATGAGTTCTAAATTCATCTGAATCTTAAGGCGGATGATTTCGTTGACTTGTTCAAATCAGGTAGAATATCAAATCAGATTTTTTTTGTTTTTTGTTTTTTTTTTCACGACTTCTTTATCTATGCTAAGTTATTATGAGGGTCGACGCATCATTGATCCATCTGAATCGTCGATTTATTCAAACTAGTGAAGAAATCCAACCGGCACACGAACAGAGAGCTGCTAGGTCAGAATCAAAAGCCTAGTGGGAACGTGCACACATGATCTGAAAAGGCAAAATAGTACCCTCTTCAAAAAAGGAAATCCATTGCAATCCAAAATTGTCTACCGCGTGGGCGCGGGGAACGCATCCTTAAGGTAGCCAAAGCACTGAGACTAAGAGCGCACACAAGAGAGAGAGAGAGAGAGAGAGAGAGAGAGAGAGAGAGAGAGAGAGAGAGAGAAAAATGGAGAAGAAGAAGAAAAAGAAGAAGAAGAAGAAGAAGAAGCGAAGAAGAAGAAGAAGAAGAAGAAGCGAAGAAGAAGCAGAAGAAGACGAGAAAGCAAAGAAGAAGAGAAGAAGAAGCGGACAAGAAGAAAAAAAAACGAAGAACAAGACGAAGAAACGGAGAAGAAGCAGAAGAAAAAGAAGCGAAGAAGAAGAGAAGAGGAAGCGAACAAAAAGAAGATGAAGAAGAAAAAAAGAAGAAAAAGAAGGAAAAAAAAAAAAAAAAAAAAAAA